ACACGGTTAATTTTTACACTTGCATTCTAGTCAGTCTGTCTTGTCTTTTTCCGAGTTTTCCTGCATATTTACCAGCTCAGTTGTTGAAGGCGTTAAATGGACTTTAAGTAACTAACGTTTAAGCGTGTGCCAACTGCCTTTTTTCTTTGGCATGGATATCATATTTTCTCTGTTACCTCTACTATTATTCGTTTCTTCTTACCACACGACTGATTGTTGCCACAATTGATATTTTAAAAACAATGTTGCCTACTTTCAGGCAGAGTGGAGCTGCACAATAAAACGGGATAGAACTAAAGTAAAGTTTTAAATGCCATATTCACTAGGATATTTTTGTTGCTCAAAATAAACAGATAAATTTAAATTCTGATGTACCACATGCAAGTTAATTATAAAGTGGTAATTAAATGAGGTTATGTGTAAAAATACATTTAAAATTGTTGTTGAACAATATATAAATATTTAAAGAAAATGTTTTTTTGTTTATAACAAATTACTTTAACTTATAATATTCATGCAATATTCTGTCAGCCACATGTTGCTGGCGCATTGGCAACTTTTGTTGCTACTGCCAACCGATTCATATTCATTAGCTACCGGTAACACACACACACACAACTGCAAAACACCTGCGCAGGTGTGCAGACATCACCTGTCTCGCTCACGCCCGCTAAATTTCCCGCCTGTTGCTTCATCTTCGCAAAAAAGAAGCAGAAGTAACAAAAGAAACTGCCTTTTTATTTCGTCTTGTGTGTTGCGGCTTTTTTCTTTTTTCCACACACTTTGCTATTATACAAGTGAGTTTTTCGTGCTTTTTGTTCTCCAAAAACTTTGGCGTACAGGCAAAGTTCAAAAGTTTTGTTTCGTTACATTGATGTTATTGTTGTAATCTCGCTTGTTGTTTTTTTCCGGCGTATGAGCATAATGGAAACTTTACCGTTAACATTCAAAGAAAATTCATTTTACAGTTCACGGAGCATCGCTTGGTAAATACAACAAAAAATAATAGAAAAATTAAAAATCATAGTTGCAGCTTCATAAGCCTAAAAACAGAAGAGCTGGGTCTCAACTCTGCACCTTGATCGGTGATATATGTATATACATAAGCACATGTGTATTTGTAGATACACCGGCAAAAAATACATATTATTGCCATTGCATATGTCAATTACAACACTTGAAAAGATAAATTAACGGGACATTCTTTCTGTTATTGTAACAAAGAATCTGTATTTATGATGTTAGAAATTTGTGTATATTTCTGGAACATGAACCTCTATAAATTTTAAGGTTTTGTGTATTATTTTTTATTTAAATGGAAGTGTAGTAGGTATCCGCCTCAATGGCATTTTACTCCATTAAAGTTAGGTCGTGCATAAAAAATATTAATTTTATTATAAATATAGATTAATCGTTACAAGTTACACAGATTTACTCCCAGTGTTTGTTTATGTTGCTCAAGTTGTCGTCGTTTCGCTTGGCGGCTTCTGCTTTGTGGAGCCTGCTGCTTTTGCTCTCCATTCTCTCCACTCTCCGCTCTCCACTGCTACAATTAAGTTTTACTTTATGTTTATGGCCTCCGTGTGTTGGAAGTTGTTTCTGCTGTTGCTGTTGCTGTTGTTTTTCTCCGGGCCAAGTTGCTGCTGTCTGGCTAAAAAAATTTCAGTTGCCATTTCAGTCAGTTGGCTTTTAAACATTAACTGAAACAGTTCGCGTCGCGCAGTAAAAATTGATTTGATATAAAGGAGAAAGAAATTTCTCAGACATAATAAATCCATTCCAACAGTTGTTGTCATTCGATTTGTGTCGTAAATAAAATGAAATAACAAAGTTTATAAACATAACTCATGACAGAACACGGAAAATTAGTTACGGCCTATGGAAAATGTTTTCAAGATGGCGACGCCTTTGGCCATCGCGTGAAAGCAGACATCAGATATTGCTGAAATAAATAATTATAAATGTGCAGCGCAAGTCGAGATCACTAGAAATAAAATCTTGAGCACAGGAAGCTCTGAGTTTTTTTTATTCGTGGGCCGCTTTAACGGTAAAAGCCGCTCAGCATCGCTGAATGGGAAACGCTTAAAGGTCAACAGCAAAGCAGCAACAGCAACAGCAACATCAACTACTATAATAACAAATAACAACTGCAGATTGCAAAAAGGAAGCAACTGGGAAACCAGTTTGCCAACAACCTGAAACTGTAGTTCAAAGAATTGCAAATCGAATCAAAAGAAGAAACATAAAAACCGAACAAGCGATTTATGTGAAAGTGAATTGACACAATTACTGCAACATATCGCCGACCAAACAGTGGAATTTCAACCGAGTGGAGCCTCCGAAGTCTTCACAGCACATTTTCCCTGAAGCTGAACTATGATGCTTTTATCGGCACTGAAGCTGGGTAAGATGGGATCATCGTGGTCTTATGATTTGATTTTGGTCCTATTTTTTATTGAGAAGTTCCACTTACTAGCGAATAAAAGTAGTTGCGTGTCTTAGTGGTCCAAATTATAGTTTTATGAAATAAAACAAGAAGCTTACACAATATTATGTAAGTCAGTCTTCCCTAATTGAACTGCCTTTTTTATTTACAATTATACATATTTGCCATTTTCACGCAATTATATGCACACAATTATATGGCATTTATTTTAATTTCAATATTTTTTTCAGTGCGCTCCTTAATTTTTTGTAGACCCTGATCTTGTTTGTAACTTTTGTGGGCGTTTTCTTGCGCTGCTGTGTTTGAGTCATCGCACAAGCATTTTGATAAGTTTCACCTGCTTGGAATTACTAATACAGAATAGAGAACAAAGAAGCAAACACGTGTTTGAAAGTCTTGCAGCCTTTGATTTCTACAAACACTCGGTTCGAGGCTGAGCACCACCAGCTGCAACAACAAGAGCTGCCTTAATGGCAATAACAAGAATAGCAATTTGCATAACAAATTGTTGGCAGAGGAGTGTTGAAAGGGGTCGATGGAGGAGGGGCGGCAAAAGCGGGGCAGAGACAAAGCACAATTACACAATTAGCTGTAAATACCTGTACAATAGTAATGACAAATGTTGCAAGTGGGCCTGGAAATGCAACGCACCTGTTGATGTGGCACTCGCTAAGTCGAAAATGCATGCTTACCTCTAGTATCTCCCCTGTCCACTTATAGAAAATTTACAATAGAGTTGCAGGCTATGTGCATATATAAAATATGTACTTCCGTTTGGCAATTTACCAGTGTTTTAAAAATGATTTAAATACTCAAGTGGCTGTGCAGCGGGAAAATCCAGTTGTGGACTTATGAATTTTAATACTCTGTCATTCAAAAAGTGGTTAACAATTTAAGCCTTTCTTCCTACTCTTACTAAAAATAATTTGATATTTTTCGAGTATAATTAATTTAAAAATCAATATAATCAAACTAAGTTACTGGAAAGAATATCTGAACTTTTCCCAACCAAGCAAAACACAAAATACTGCAACCTTTCGGAAGAAGTCAGACATCAAAGATAGCAATTTTCTCATTATAAGTATATGTAAGCAGAGAAAATGCTTGGAGCGCTTTTCATTTGCATGGAAAATGGCCAAACAAAAGCTTGAACACGGCTTTAACAACCGGCAAGTGTGCGATTGTGTGCATTTGGCTGGGAAAGAAAGAAAACTTTCTATTTTCGGTTTCAATCTTGCATCAATGCAGGGGCACGAGTACGGGTACGGATACCCAACTGCCGTATTGTGCCGCATTGTACGTACTACGTAGTTTGGAGTGGTGCCTCCCAGCCTTTTGTCATCTTTTGCCGGCACGTTTTCCTCGTAACGCTGTTGTTTGGCTTGTTTGTGAGAACGGGTGGAAAAAGGGGGCGGGCCAGACGCAACAAGTTTTCACATGAAAAATGCGCGCACCGCTGCTTTGTGCTTCTGTGATATTGAGAAAATTGGCTTATCAATTGAAAGCCAGTGGCGGCAACCAGTTGCAAACTGCAGGGCAATTTTTCTCCTTCCATACTTTGTATCAACTTATAGCAATACGTGTAGATGGCGGGTTGGGAAATCGCTAAAGCCGCTGGCAGTCACTTTCGCTTTGCGATTAACCTTCACTTTTGTTTTAGCCGCTCGGCGCTCGCGATTCTCGAGCAGGCGCCTACCTGAAGCACTTCTCCATTTGCTCATCCGATGCAAAAGTGGATTCCGAGTGGTGGCAGCGCCAGAAAATCAAAATATCAGGCCAAAAAATTAAGGCAGACAGCAAAATGTGTATCATGAGGCGAAAAGTTGACTCATTTGCTGAGGGCGATTGCATAAGAGACGCCCACTCAAATGCCGAAACTCGACTGCTCTCGACTGGCATTTAAGTTTCATTTATTTATCTTTATTTATTTTTGCTTTAATTGGGGTTACACTTCGAGTTCACTTCGAGCTAACGTTATTATTATTGACGGGCTCTCGAAAAACCCCAGTTGGCAAACACTGAAATCGTATTAAGCCGAGCAAAGTCCGTGCAGCTCATCAAAAAGCTTTCCAATGCCCGATGTCTTTGATTTATCTGCGAATTGTGGGCGACCGCGCGGGCGCCTTGAACCGTTGAAAATCTTGTCAATGTTCAGTGTCAGCGCTTGGCCAGCGTCTAATTAATTATCACCTTGGCAAGAATCGCAAGCCACCAAAAAAACCAGACAGCATAAGGCGATTTTGCGATATTTGTCGATGGCTAATTAATCGGACAGCCCTGGGGCCTGAAAATGTTTAAATGTAGATTTGAGTGTAGTACATGGCACACTAAGCAAAATAGTCGCGTTATGCTTAAGCAGCATAGCTTGATTTTATATCAAATATATATGCTATTTATGTTTTATTTACTTAATGCAACGGCTACTGCAAAATGAAAGACTAAGACGTTCATTTAATTGTAAGACTTAAGCAACAAACTTGAGCGAACAAAAGACTTCAGCAACGAACTTGTACAAGGTTTCTAATCAGTTTGGTTTTCTTTTTGCATTTTGCAGGCAACGGCAGTTCTCCAGCCCAGAATTCAACGCGCAGCATCAGCCCCAACAGCTCCACGACCAACAGCCAGTTCAGCTTGCAGCACAACAGCTCCGGGAGTCTCGGCGGAGGAGTGGGCGGCGGATTGGGAGGCGGAGGCAGCCTTGGCCTAGGCGGAGGAGGAGGTGGCGGCAGTTGCACGCCCACATCGCTGCAGCCTCAGGTTAGTTCAACAGACACATAGCCCCATAATTAAAGCCGCATCTAACCAACTTTCAATTCGAACAGTCCTCGCTGACAACTTTCAAGCAGTCCCCAACTCTATTGAACGGCAACGGAACTCTATTGGATGCCAATATGCCTGGCGGTATACCCACCCCCGGAACACCAAATTCCAAAGCCAAGGTAGAAAAACTTATGAAATGTATTAGCAATGTTTTCTAATTTGAGCTTCTTGGACAGGACAATTCCCACTTTGTCAAGCTTGTGGTGGCTCTCTATCCATTCAAGGCCATCGAAGGCGGTGATTTATCGCTTGAAAAGGTAAGGGTTACGAAACCTCTTTTTCCTGTAAGCGCAAAGCTAATACGGCTGATTTACTAACAGAATGCCGAATACGAAGTGATAGATGACTCACAGGAGCACTGGTGGAAGGTCAAAGATGCCTTGGGCAATGTCGGCTATATACCCAGCAACTACGTCAAGCCGAAGGCACTTCTTGGCCTGGAGCGCTATGAGTGAGTAAAACCATTTTTCAAATAATAAATCATCTAGCGACTAACTATTGAATAATACAAGAACGAGGCAATTTATTATATTGAAGAAAAAATCAAAAGATCAGACTGGAAACTAACGATTCTGCTTCTGTTTTTTTCTAGATGGTATGTGGGCGACATGTCACGACAGAGAGCCGAGTCCCTGCTGAAGCAAGGGGACAAGGAGGGCTGCTTTGTGGTCAGGAAGTCATCGACCAAGGGTCTCTACACACTATCGCTGCATACCAAAGTGTAAGTTTGAGCGAAGCAACCAAAATAAGTATGAATAATAATGTAATTTTATCCATAGTCCACAGTCGCATGTGAAGCACTACCACATCAAGCAAAATGCTCGCTGCGAGTATTATTTGAGTGAGAAGCATTGCTGTGAAACAATTCCGGATCTGATCAACTACCATCGGCACAACTCTGGCGGATTGGCTTGCCGACTCAAATCCTCGCCCTGCGATCGCCCAGTTCCACCGACGGCGGGATTATCCCACGACAAATGGGAAATCCATCCCATGGAGCTGATGCTGATGGAGGAGCTTGGATCGGGGCAGTTTGGTGTTGTGCGGCGCGGCAAGTGGCGTGGGTCTATCGATACAGCGGTCAAGATGATGAAGGAGGGAACCATGTCCGAGGACGATTTCATTGAGGAGGCCAAGGTGATGACCAAGCTGCAGCATCCGAATCTTGTGCAGCTATATGGCGTCTGCTCCAAGCACCGGCCCATCTACATCGTGACCGAGTACATGAAGCACGGATCCTTGTTGAATTACTTGCGGCGGCATGAGAAGACTCTGATTGGTAATATGGGTCTGCTCCTGGACATGTGCATACAGGTGAGCAAGGGCATGACCTACCTGGAGCGCCATAACTACATTCACCGGGACCTGGCTGCCCGTAACTGCCTCGTGGGCTCCGAGAATGTCGTCAAAGTGGCCGACTTTGGATTGGCCCGATACGTCCTCGACGATCAGTACACCAGCTCTGGCGGAACCAAGTTCCCCATCAAGTGGGCCCCGCCCGAAGTGCTCAACTACACGCGCTTCTCCTCTAAGAGCGATGTGTGGGCATACGGTGAGTCTTTGTCCCGCACAACTGAAACTCTAACGTATTGAATTCTTAACTTAATATCTATTATTTCGCCGTCTTAGGTGTGCTAATGTGGGAGATCTTCACTTGCGGCAAGATGCCATACGGTCGCCTCAAGAATACCGAGGTTGTGGAGCGTGTGCAGCGCGGAATTATCCTAGAGAAACCAAAGTCGTGTGCCAAGGAGATTTATGATGTGAGTTCATTGTACATATAGATCTTGACAGAGTTTTTTAATTGGTAATCATTTTTCATAGGTCATGAAGTTGTGCTGGTCACATGGACCCGAGGAGCGTCCCGCGTTCCGTGTGCTCATGGATCAGCTGGCTCTTGTGGCCCAGACGCTTACCGACTAAGGAGCGGACAGATTGCGGCACCCATCGCCTGAAATTAACACGCACTGAACACACTGAAGCATCTTAAGATATTAAAGAACGTTAAAGGCATTACATTTAAGGTTACGAAAGGGGCGAAAGAAAGATATATTTAGATTTACACATACTGTATATGAACCATAAGATTTAGTTAAGCGCGTGCCAGTTTAAATTACGGCACAAGCCCCATATGATTATGGTATATTTGGATTAATTTATAGAATTAGAGCTGAGCGAATGATATCATTATGTTTATGAACGCGTTAACTGTTAGTCGGTGAGATACGAAGCGCAACAACTGACAGTCACATATAGTAACTATATTAAATGAGAAAACGGAAATGCATAAAGTATGGAAAACTGTAGTTAATAGTCAAATTTTTGATACACTTCACATACCGAAAGCGATTTAAAAAATTATAACGATACATGCATATGATATGATATTTAAATGTGCTTTTTTAAATAGCGAGCCACTGTGCTAAGTAAAATATGATTATCCCTAAAGAATGATAGAAACAAACAAACAAGAAAACTGATTATGCATTAAATATTAAATGTAAGCCTCAAGTCGAAAGCGAAATGTTTGCACAACTGATAAAGGATGAAGGAACCGAAGGATGATAAGAGAAGTTCGCCAAGAAACATAAACAGTTTTTAGACTACATTTGTACGTGCTTAGTTTAAGTTTTGTGATTTATTGTTTAATTCTTGCAGACGATTTTTATTTTTATTTAATTTTGATCTTGCGATGGCTTTTCCCACGCTCAAAGTATGAATCAAATACAAATGCGGTATAATTACGAGAAATTTATACGATATGCTATATATTTTAACTGAATTCTTTCGTTTTTTTTCAATGTCTATGCGATATGAATCGATATATCTATAAACATATTTTATCGTATTTTTATGAAAGTTTTACTTAATTAATTTTATCATTTGATTAAGCAACCAGAAATACAAAAGAGAAAAGAAAAACGAAAATCAAATAAAATGTACGATACACATTTATTATAATTCACCCTCTTATTTTGGTATTCATTTGCAAAATTTTGGAGACTGCTAGCACAGAACTCGGTTTCACACCAAAACATTTGCGAGCCAAGTTCAGCCGAGAAGAATTCGAAGCAATGAGAACAGAACCAAAATAGATGCAACTCAAATAGACTTATAGCCAGACTATACAAGAGAACACCAAACAGAAAGCAAACAAAGCAACAAAACAAGCCGAAACACCAACACGCAAACCAAAAGCGCATTTTGTAAAACTTTTGATACAGCATTTTGATACGAGATACGAACTATACACAGCAACCGCAAAGGTGTGTCTATGTTTATATGAATGTGGTAGCTAGTAAGCGTCCTTCGTACGACTATATGTAGCATTAGCCGATCAAGAAAACTGGTAATGTCTATCTATGATGATTCCTTTTGCTGAGCGAAGGGCAGATTGGGGATAGAGTCTTCTCCTGCCCATCCGCAAAATCCTTGCAGTAGCCACTATCCAGACTACGGTCAACATACACGTATGCAATCTACATTACACTACTAACTTATAATACGCGGCTTAGTTGATTTCTTGCGCCTATGCATATAGAGCTATATATAAATACATACGATAAACGATACGATATAAATACGAAATACGTCTATTGCCATGAAACCCACTCCCAGAAAAATAAAAACAAAACCAAAAATCATCAACGTGATATTGCTAATAAAAGAACCGAAAATACTCCTGCTGCTGCTGCTCTCTGATGTTTTATGCATAGTTGGGGATTCGTGCAATTCGCAATAGTGAAAACTTCAACTGTCTTCAAAGTGGCGGTGACATGTTGTCAGCAATATTCATATCACAGCCAGCTTTGAGGAGCGTTGCGGTTTTTCTCGCCCGCCGACTAAAGAAAAATGCAATTTATTCATGAAATTTTATATATATTTTATAAATTCATAGAATCTAAAACTCTATTCCCGCTTAAAGACATTTTTGCTTCACTTGCTGATAACATTGCTATTTAGCCTGAAATTATGCCACATAAGTATGGAGGTCTGAAATATAAAAACATCATCTTTATACTGGATTTTGGATTTTTATATGTGGTTTATTATGTTCTATGGCCTACTATTGGAAAATAAACGAAATAAACAAACAAAAATTAAACAAAAAACAATTGAATGTTCTGCTCAATGGGGAAAGTTTTTATTTAAGTTGACAATTTTTATTTTCAGTAACTTTGATACGTACGTTTCATATTTAGTTGTTTCTTTTTACTTTTAATAGTTTTTCCCAAAAAAATACAACTATCCCAATTTTGCAGTAAACGATTTTCCAATAAAATTTAATCGCGGTTTCCCTGCCAATAATTTGTCATGCTCCATTAGGCACGTGTGTGGGTGAAGGCTGTCTATGTGCCACCGCAGCAGTGGTCCATAAATTGGTGGGTCGGCGGGCGGATCGATTCGCCGGAGGCAAGATCGCGGTCTCGCATTACATAACCGCAGTCAAGCGGCGTTATTTGTTGTGAGCACGGCCATAAATAGGCCTCCCGATGAGCGCAAACCCAGCGAATTACAGATAGTCAATGAGCCATTAAGATACGACTGAACCGTGGGCAGGAGACCGGGGGCAATGTCTATCTAAGGCGACCTTCCCCTAGATACGGCTTTCTTAAAATGTAAATGAGTCAATTAAATGGAAATCGATCTTAGAAATGATGTTTTGGGCAGGGAAAGTCAGTCGATAGCACTCCCAGAAATTTGATTTGAATGTTTCCTTGTAAGTTTAAGCGTTATGATGAATTCTTTCTAACACTACATCTAAATTGGAAATAATACGCAATAACACAATTATAAAAAAATAGATTGATAACAAGGAAATTGGTAAAAGGCACCTAATGGTCATGTGCAAAATAAATTTGGTGAGAATAGATATCTTTAAATATAAACCTATAAATATTACCCCTATGTGTATTTGTTTATATGTGATTTTCAAATTTAGTTTTGATTTTTAAACTCTTTAAAGTATTCAGCAACAGTTTCCAGCAAGCAGAATCCTTAGCCAATTAACAGGGCAGCATATGTTAACTATTACGTCGACTGTTAACGCCAACGCGGCAGCTACGTAGCATACGCTACGTCAAAAATTTGAAACGAAAAGCGAGCGTTAGCGACTTTGCACGGCAGTTTCTGTTCGACAGCGCTCGAGTGCGGTTCCAGCTCCATCTCCTCAAGAAAACGCAGCTCACAGCGGCCAATCCAATCGGTATAAATAAATCAGCAAAGTGTATTTTGTTTTGGAAACCTCCAATAGACTTCAAACGCCAGTCGGAGACCGACACTCGAAAGCAGCTGTCACTTGAACCCAATCAACGAACGAATCAACGAAATAATAAACCAGCCACGAAACCAACTACAGTGACAACGAATATAGCCAACTCTTTGAGTGCACAGATGTTTTGAGTATCGCCCAAAAATCGCGTCTAATCCTGGCAAGGACTGTGTGCATTACGCGCCATTAGCACCGCGATACAGTGAAGTTTTTTACTGTGTAAAAGAAAGTTGCGGAAATCAAGCGATACAACGGAAGCAGGACGCGATACCCCAAATCGAAAAGTAGCCTGCGGTAAGGATAAACTGGAGTAGGCGTTAACCAAGGCGGGGCAGCCCGACTGGAGCAGCCAGTGGATTGCGTGCTGACCCGACCCCAAAGTTCATTGACTGTCTGTCTGACTATTGGCATTTCCTGGTGGCGTAGGGCTGGGTTTCCCAGCAGTCAGCTGTTCAGTTCCGCCCCCAAATCCACATTGCTCCTCCCATTGTTTAGTCAATGACACTCGCGTACTCGTATTGATGTCACTTGTTGGCATAATGTAACCCTTCCGCGGTTCCTGATACCTTCACTTGCCCCATGGAGCCCATGACATCAGCTCTAATAACCGGTCGTCCCGAGTCAGCTCATTTTTCAAAGTCACTGATTATGGCAGGCACAACACAAAAAAGCGTTAACCAAAAACAAAATAACAAAGTAAAGAGTGGGAAAAGGTTAAACAGAAAGCTGAACTGCTAAGGGGAAATGCAGTAATCGCTAAATAAATATTTAGCCAACCCAACAGGTATTTATGTATCCAAACATGCAAATGGTGGCAGCCAGTGATCTCAGGCTCCAGAATTTGGTAGCGGATGTGTTTCTCCCATTAAAATCGCAAATTAACCATTTGCTATTTGGAAACTTTGCCATTGCCTTGAGAACCAAGACTCGGAGAAGGTTTGCCAATTTTTCCCGCTTCATTTCCCAGCTTTCTCTGGTTTTCAAAGCCAAAACACGTTCGCTGCAGAGCACCGAGAATGTTGAGAAACTTAATTAGATTTGGCCGATCGCAAACTAGTTCACACAGCTGACGTCAGTCGGTCTTGGCTTTTATCACAGTCGAGAGTTCAGTTCGGTGCGGATGGCGAATGTTTTGTCTTTGGCTCTCATGTTTTCATTTACCAGCTCTTATTCAGCTATTTTTTGGCCTTTTGCCGGCTGCTCACTTGCTGTCGGTTTCTGATTTTGGTAGGGAATCGCTCAACTTGTTCGCCGTTAATTAAACATATACAGCGCCACTGTCTGAGGCGAAAAAGCTGATAGTTAATAGAGTCAGCACACGAATTATGGCTATTTGCTACATGTCTATATACCGCGGAGTCATGGAGTTTCGCAGCTCTGCGTGGGTCGATCTGCCGTCTGGAAACCCAATTCCGAACTGGCTTTTTCGGACAACTCAATGTGGGCTAAAGGAAACGGCGGCCGCCGTATTTGGGCGTAAAGCCTCCGGAATGGACGGCTGGAAATTGTCTAAATTTTGGGAATGAGCTCATATTTAATTCGCGACTTGGAGAGCGTGAAATGAGTCCAAAGAACATAAAAACGTTTTCACTGAGTGATTGTTGATCAGGTCAGAGATACCCATACCTCACATTCAGTACAAATTGGGGTATACCAACCCTAAAATGATTAAGATCTCTTAAAATATTACTAGAACTTGGCACAATATTAAATGTTAAATATATCTATATACAATACCTTATCATTGAATAAAGCAGGATTTATTCAATAAAAGCAAATTGGATAAGCACAACTATACTATTAGTCGTGGAATTATTATTATACAGGGTATTTCATCTTTTTGGCTGAGGCTACAGCATTTTTTTGTATTTTTAAAGTTGAAATCACAAATTAAAGCTGACGCGTGCTAAATTTGTGGTTTTCGTCACGGGTTCCCAGTCGGGTCAACTGTGAGAATATCAATTTAAATCAAACACAAACGAGTCATCATAAACAAATCTCTGAAGGTCGCAAAGATAATGCTGCAATATGTGCTCGTCAGTATCTCTGTAACTAATCATGAATGCCAAGCCTTGTTTGTTTCTCAAAAAATGCAAGCAAAATTACATGGAGAGAGGAGAGATCGAAAGTCGAGTGTGTGGGCGATAAGATTTTGCTATATAGCTTTCCCGGTTTTTACACTGACCCCCGTGCATAGACTATCGAGCATCACCATCTATAATTTGATTACTGAAATCTG